GTCCCAACGGCTTGCCTCCGCGGCGACAGCCCGCTGCATCCTTGAGGAGTTGTCCCGGCAGGTTGCGCGTTGATGGCTGTCTTGAGCGCGCTCGCGCGCTGCTGCCCCGAGGAGTTGTTCCGACGGGCAGCGCGCTCGCTGAATGCATTGCCGCCGAGCCTTCGCTGCCCCTCCCCCCTTGCCGCCCGCTTGTGGACTTCGCCTTTCAAACGTTTGCCCGAGGGGTTGTCCCGGCGGCATATGCGTTTTTGTATATCCTCTCGCTCTCGTCGCCACCCATGCGCTGTTTCGCTGCCCCGCTCCTTCACGCCTCAGGCCCGATGGGTTGTCCTGACGGCATCTGCAGCAGAGACCAGGAGAGAGCCGGATACAATAGCAAATGCCAGCAAAAACCAACGCGGAGCGGCAAAGAGCATGAAAGAGCAGGTGAGATCAACCGAGAGCAGCAGACAACAGCATGGAACAGTAGAGAGCAGCGGGAAGCAGGAGGGAGCGGGAGAGACCAGGACAGACCAGTTGAGGCCAGCAGCTGGCCAGCTGACACCGTTGTGGTTGAGGTCTTGTTTGGTAGTTTCGATCGTTTCTGTGTTTTCTGGGAGCCTCCGGAGCTCCCAGGGGTATCTTGACGTCAGGCACCGGGTAACAGCCCAGAGCAGCAGGGAGCGGCATAATGCAGCAACCAACAGCGAAGACCTGCAGGGCGCAGCAGAGAGTAGCAGAGAGCAGCAGACCACAACAGGCAACAACAGAGAACAGCGGAGACTGGGGGTGTGATGGGCTTGTGATGGGCTCTAATGGGTTTGTTTCCGTCGCCGTTGTGATGGGCTCAAATGGGAAGATTCGTGTGGGTCTCGTTGCCAGAGCAGCAAGCAGTCGCGGTGCGCCTGCGTCTCGCCCGCCATGCCTTTCGAGATGGGTGACACCACCGTGCTCGTTCTGTTCGTCGCTGTGCATAAGGATGACCAGCCCGCCGTTGAGCACGGGGCGCAGATTCCACGGCGTTTGATGGGGTCCACTCCGTGCGTTGGTTTCCGCACGTCGCCGACGCAGGCCATGGAGCGCGCTCGCATAGTGCAGCAGAGGAGTGGCGCTTTTGACTCAAAGGTGAAGCACGTGCTGCTACAGGTGGAGTTCAGCGCCCGCGCTCTCGCGGACCTCACCGTGACGCCCGCCGCCAGGGAGTACGCCTTCGCGCCAATGCTGCACAAGGTGGCGCATCGGTCCGATGGAGAGACTGACTGGGGAGTCTGGCATTACTGCGGCGATTTCCCACTTGGGCTCTCTGGGATTCGCCATTGCTGGCGGGAGATTGAGTGATCTGGAAACGCTTGTTCGCAGGTCGCTACTCGGCCGAGGGGTTGTCCCGACGCTTTTTTCTCCACCTGCACAGCGCGCTGTCTTGCTTCCGGCGGCATAGACCCCTTTGCTACGTCTCTCGCCTGAGGGGTTGTCCCGACGGCAGTATTCACGGTCTGAGTGTCTCGCCAGTGCATCCAGTGTTTGAGTCGGCAAAGCAAATGGGGCTCCTGCGCGCCCTCCCACCCGCCACTGTCATATCCGTTGCCTGTCCCGTTTAATCGAGGTCTCCGCTCCTTCGTGGTTGTCGATTCCGCCGAGTGACATCTGACACGAGGGTTTCCGCCGGACCCGCTCACCACCATGTTATTATGGTTTTCTGATTCGGATACTAGCGTCTTTTCGGGGGAGCCGTCTTCGTTGTGCTCTGGTGCATTCGTGCCGTCTCGAGTATGCACGCACGCGCAGCCGCGCGCCTCACGTCTCGATATTATTCGACTGATCGAGAAGGATGGGAGAGGAAAGTGAGAGCTGGGGGCCCCTGTCAGCCTCGACCCTGTGCCAGAGCTTCCGCAGCGCATTTGGCTCAAGCATCTTGTGGCCAGCGCCCCCGTTCCATCTCAGTCCGGCGTTGCCGCTGACCATGGCGGACAGCAAGCTCGCTCTGTCTCCGCGAGAGTTCTCCGGCGATCCCGCCACGTGCGTCTTCGGGCGCGTCGTCATCAAGCGAGGCCCGGTGGAAGTGGGCAACCAAGCGGATGGGAAGGGCAAGGGCAAGGCCAAGGGCAAACGCGCTGGAAAGGACAGAGAGCCGGGGAGGAAGATCGAAGTGCACATGCTCGGCGGTGACACTGTGGGCGACGTCCTGCTCCTTGACGGATGGGCAGACGCCGCCGCCCAAGTTCATGCCGCCATGGAGCTGGGCAGGGTCTACCGCGTGTCCGGCGGGACCGTCGTGAACCAGACCCCGAAGTACTCCACTTCTCGGCTGTCGTACTTCTTGCGGGTAAAGCCGCCCTTGGGAGTCAACACGGTCATCCAGGAGTGCACCGAAAGCCCGTGGGTGGACGTTCCCCTGCATCACCCGTTCGCGGAGATTGCCAGCTTGGGCAGAGTGACCGATACAACGCAGGTGTGCGCGGTCGGCGTCGTGTCTCACCAGCCGGGCGTCGGGGAGCGCGACACCCAGTACGGCCGAGCAGGCGTCTGCAACGCGGTGATCAAGCAGGGGCGCCACGACATCCGCTGCGCATTCTGGCGAGACCATGCCGCGACTCTGGCCGCCTTCCCCGTCGGCTCCGTGATCGCGCTGATGCAAGTGAGTGTGAAGCAGCGCAACGGGTCCTGGGAGATCTTCGCCACGGAGGCCACGGAGGCCACGACTTGTCCTGCAGCTCAAGCGGAGACTGTTCGCGCCGCGACTGACATCTCCGAGGGTGCCGACGCGGCCACGTCCGTCACCAAGCATCACCATGCCGTGGACTACGACACGGTGCCCGCCATGGCGAGCACGGTGAGTGGCCTCATGTCGGTGCCCGTGCCTTTCCAGACGCGCGACCTGCCTGGGGTCTTCGAGCTCCACTGCGTCGCCGTCACGGGCGTGGCAGGTGCTTCCGCCGACAGCGACTGGCAGATCAAGAGCTGCGCAGAGTGCAAGAAGAAGATTCCCGACCACCAGGACACGTGTGGCAGCCACCCCGAAGCGGGAACTGAGATGCGGTGGCTCCTGAAGCTGGGCATCGCGGACCACACCGGCGGAGGCTCCGCCGTCCTGTACCACGACGCAGCGTCCACCCTCGACGTGCTCGGCGATTCGGGCACGCCCCTGGACGCCCAGGCTCGCCGCGTGCGCGCTGCGGCATTTCGGGCGACGCCGTGGACGCTGCGGTGCGTGTTCAAGACAAACGATGTCACCAATGTCAACTACCTCGAGGTGAAGCGGATTGTCCCGACGCTGACGCCCGACGGCGTCGTGTCGACGTGGTCGGAGGTGATGGCGCCGCCGGCGGTGAAGACGGGCGGCGCCTGCCCGTTCGCGGCGTGCTCGGACGTCAGCTCGGACGACTCGCTCGGCTTGCTGCTCGTCCGTGACCTGGAGGTCCAGGCGGTCCGCGTGTTGCTGGTGATGCAGAGGCCCACGGAAGCGGAGACGGTGGCCACACCCGACGCAGAGAATCGCGGCCTGCGCGTGCAGCGCCTCGCGCGCTGCGGGTTCCAGTCTGAAAAGGAAGACACGTATTGCGTTAAGACGGCCGGTGTCGCCGGCGACGTGCAGTGGCTCCTGACGGCCGGGCACGGCGACGCGCACCTCGTGACTGCCATGCTGCGGACAGATAAGGGCTCCGGCCGCGGGACGTTCGATGTGCTGTCGCACAAGGCCGTGGTCCCCGAGCTCTTGCCCAGCATGGTCAAGCTCATGGCCAGCGCGCAGGGGTCCGGCGGCCCGGCGCTCATCGCGCACGCGCCCGACGCCACGCCGCACAAGCGCATGCGGGACCTCGCCTTCTCGCCCCCCGAGCTGCGTCAACGCATATTCCCTGGCGAAGCGCGCCGACTGGAGTGAGAGCTGCGCGCGCCGAGCCGCAGGCGTGCATGCGGGATTTCCCAACCGGCGCGATTGCTCATCCGTGATGTGTTGCGCGAGCCCGCGCTGACTCGGCTGACGCTGCGCCGTCTTGCGAGGGCGCCCGCGACGCAGTGCCCATCGCCGCTTGTCTCGCCTGAGGGGTTGTCCCGACGGTATTGAGTATTGATTTTACACTTTGTCTCTCCCTACTGTCGCCGCCCCAGCCGCGCCCGCGGGGTTGCCCCAACGGCGCGCGCTGGCACTGGCGCGAGTTCGCGCTGACTCGGCTGACCCTGCGCCGTCTCGCGAGGGCGCCCGTGACACAGCGCCCGTCGCCGCTGGTCTCGCCTGAGGGGTTGTCCCGACGGTATTGATTTTGCACTTTGTCTCTCCCTTCTGTCGCCGCCCTCGCGCTTTCTCCCGCAGGCCCGACGGTCTGCCCTGACGGCATCCTGCGCGCGGCGCCCGTCCGGGCGGGGGCAGACGGCGGAGCTACCGACCACTTCAAAAATGACAGGGCCTGCGCGCCAGCATTCTCCCTTCCGCTTTCGCCTCCGTCGTCGATCTCCATCCCGGATTGCCTGCGATGCCCGGGCCGTCGAAAATATCGCGCCCATCCGCTGCCTCTCACTGCCGACAGGGAGCAGCACAGCTGACAGTAGCAGCCAAAATCTGAGACCACCCGTGGCCAGCAGAGAGCACAACAGAGCACCGGAGAGCAGCAGACAAGAACTGAGACCAGCATAGCATCAGCAGCAGAGACTCACATGCAGCAGCAGAGAGCAGCAGAGACCAAGAGAGAGCAGGATGCATTAGCAGAGACCAGCAGAAACCACCACGGAGCGGCAAAAGGCATGAAAGTGCAGTTGAGAGCAGCGGTAAGCAGGATGGAGCGGGAGAGACCAGCTGAGACCACCATGCCCCGAGGTGACCAGCTGAGACCAGCTGACACCGTAGCGATTGAGGCTCAGTCCGCATTGGCTTTGCTTCCTGTTGCCAGCGCTGCGTGCTTCACTCGCCGTTGCAAACCGCATATCCCGACATTTCAACATGCCGCCCAAGAAGACGGAGGCGGCCTTGCTCGCAGACGTCGCAGAGCATCGTCGGTGGGCGACTGCCAAATTGACGGCCCTGAGAGCACGGGGCGGCATCGGCTTGAAGGCGAAGCTTCAGCAGAGGGCGGGGCTCGAGGAACAGCGGATTTACAAGTGGTACGTGAAGCACGCGGGCGTCGCATCTGATCATCCGACAGTTGCCGCAGCCCTGTCGGAGCTGGACGCCCTGGTCAATGACTCCCTCGGCCCGGCAGCGTCGGCGTGCCCCGACGACGCCCCGCCGGCATAGCAGAGGCGCCTGACCGAGAGGGGTGGCGAGGCTGCTGCCTGCGCGGCGCCGTTGCAGGGCGAGTCACGGCCTGGCCAGTCGACGCCGGCAGCTCGAGGGGTTGTCCCGACGGCCTGCTCGGCTGGACATGGCCTGGCGGCTGCAGCAGCGGCCAAGGCGTCTCCCGCTTCAACGCCGCCCATCGGCATCGAAGAGACCCCGGCGAAGAGGCCTCGCCTGTTCGCCGACGGGCTCGGTGCGACGCCCGCGCGGACCACCGGCGGCCTGACGCCTGCCACCGCGGAGGCCTTGGCAAGGTCGTGCCGCAAGAGCCCGTGGGAGTCCCCGTTGGTCGACGATTCCGTGAGGCTTGCTCGCCCAAAGAATCCCGCGAGAGGTGCCTCGCGGCCCGTCGAGCGGCCGCGCTTGCGCCCGCGGGAAGAGGAGCGCCTCCTGGCGGCAGTGCCGCGGAAAGCTGTGAAAGATCTGTACGCGCACGTCCGCGACGAGGCGCGGCGCCGAGGCAACGGAGAGTACCTCCCGCTGATGAAGGAAAACTCAGCCAAGTACAATCAGATGCACTACGTGTCGAAATTGCATAGGCGCGGCGAGCTCCAGGCGGCCGAGTACGCTCTGTTGGCGCACCAGCCCCACATTATTGGCCCAGAGCTCTTCGGCGCAGTGGAGAAGGTGGAGTGCTCTGCCGCAGTGCCCCCCTCGAGCAGCAGCGCCTGGCGGTGGACTTTCAAGCCGGCAGGAGTTGACGTGGAAGGGCCGCAGGTCGAGTCTCGGGCCGAGGCAGCGCGAGCTCTGGCTGGGCTGCAGGCGCGGCTGTACCCCGAGTGGCATCACCCAGGCACTCGCGAGCAGCACCTCCGCGCCCTGCTCCGCGACGACGAGCGACAGCAGCAGCTGCGCGGCCTGCTCGCTCAGCCTGGCATGCGGTTCGCCAGAGCGGCCGGGCTGGAGGCAGCCGCGTCGGGGCCTCGAGACGGCCGCGCGGGCGCCGCTGGCTTCCCCAACCTGGCAAACGCGTGCTACGTCGGTGCCGTGGTGCAGTGCTTGTACCACACGCACCCCTTCCGCAGTGACATCGAGGGCTTGCAGCCGGGCGCCAGCAACATGGGGGACCGCCTGCGGGACCTGTTCTGTGCGCGCAGCTCCTCTGCCTCCGCGGCCGGCGACATTCGCCCGCCGTTGGTGGCCCTTGTCCGTCAGATCTTGCATCAGCCGCCAGGCTTTGAGCCCGGTCGCCAACAGGACGCGGCGGAGTGCCTAATGCGCGTCCTCGAGCACGCGGACCTCGGAGGAGTGCGGCGCCGCGTCTGCGGGGACGGCGCGGCCACGAGCGTCGAGGGCATGGTGCACTGCTGCGCCGCCGAGGAGGCCCAGGTGGGTCGCGACGCGCCGCCCGTGTCCATGGCCGCCATGATCCAGGCGTCCCTCACGGGCGAGCAGGCCGTCCGTGAGGCTTCGGAGGCAGTGGTCCTCCGCGTGGAGAGCATGTACGAACAGGATGGCAGACAGTTCGCGGTGGACGCGCGGGCGGACTGGCGGGACACTGTCTTCCCCGTCAGCATTCTCAACGGAGACGCCGTTCTTACGAGGTGGCGGCCTTCGCGCAGCACCGCGCCGCGCGCGCGCGCCACCTCTGCAGCGGATGCGCGGCGGCCACTACGTCGCCTACGTCAACAAGGGCGGGCGCTGGTTCGAGCTCGACGATGCCGTCGTGACGGAGCTGCCTGAGCCGCCTGACGCGTATCCGTACTTGGTCTTCCTGGCCCGCGCGAGGCCCAGACGGTCGATTCCGATGGGCGGGAAGCGGCGCGACCCTCGCGGGCCTGACGACGCTCTGGAGGCTGCTGCCAGGCTGTCGCGAGTGATGCCTGCGGCGTCGGGAGGGGCCGCTGCTGGCTTAGCATCCGGATCGGGCAGCGGCAGCCGCGGCTTGCCACAGGCTGCAGGCTCAGCGGCTGGTCAAGGCCGGACAGGCAGGGACTGGAGTGGCAGAGACCAGTCTGGTAGAGACGAGACTGGAAAGGACCAGACTGGTAGGAACCGCAGCGGTCAGCCAAGGGGCATTGCTGGAGTGCACCCAGCTGCCAGGGCCGTCTGGAACGCTTCAGCTGCCGCGGACAACAGAGACCACACCCGGGCAGACCCCGAGAACAGCGCGGACAACCCTTTCAAGCGGTACGTGGATAACTGGGATCTGCGACGCACCAGCGCAGATGTGAAATGCCGCACCTGGTCGCAGAGGGCCGAGCCGTCGGGCCCCCAGCCGTGCCGGCTCTGCCAGGGCCGAGACTTCGCGTTCCGCGAAGATTGGAAGAAGCACGTGGACGACGAGCACGGTGGCGTCCAGCGCTACCGCAACGCTCTCTTCTCGTCGCTGTCGCTGAAGCCCTATGTTGTCAAGGGAGAGGAGTGGCGCGCGATCGTGGCCAATTATGCGGAGTTCTACGCCAGGGCCGCCGTGGACTGGGAGAAGCCGACTGAGCGCATGCGTGAGCTCGCTCAGACTCCCGAGGGGTTGTCTGCAGATGAGCGCTGGGCGCCCCGGACCCGCTGTGCGTGCGTCTTCTGCGCCAGGCTGCACTGGTCCGAGGACCTCTCCTTGGAGTTCCTAGCAGGCAAGGACTGCTTCATGAAGAACCCCGAGGCCGTGGCCAAGCTGTTGTCTTGGGAGGTTTACCACAAGCACTGGCCCGACATCCCCGAGGCCGAGCTCCGCGCCTCCGCCGTGCGTCTGCGCATTGGGAACACGGACACATTCCAACTTGTCCTCATGCACAAGCGGCGGGTGACGGATGCGCAGGCGTTGGGCGACGAGCGGGCCCCGGTGTGCGAGGATTGCCTGTGCGCGTTCTCTCCCCGCCACCCGCGCATGTGCAAGTTCACCTTCGCTAACCACTTGTGGCTCGGCAGGAATGACCCGCTCTTCCGCAATGCCAACTTGTCGCACCAGATGCTCCTCGCACTCGCCCGCGTCGTGACGACCAAGGTGGTGCTGCGCCCCGAGAGCTACGACAAGCAGCGCAGCGGCGACGGGCCCACGTGGGACTTCCTCTTCCACCAGACGGGCATGGTGGGCTCCGCAATCCTCTTCGGGAACGCGTCGTGCAAGGAGGCCATGGAGCGTTTCCCTCCGGCTTCCATCAAGGACGCCTTCGCGGTGACTTTCCTGGCAGCCAAGCAGGACGCGGCGAAAGAGCAGCCGCCAGACGGCTCGGAGAATGCAGCAGGACAGTGGCGCCGCGAGGGTCTGGCTGGCGACGCCGCCAGGCAGCAGGACGCCGCCCGGCGCGCCGTCCGGGGCATCGCGCGCCTCAAGGTGAACCGCGCCGAGTTTGACTCGCAGGCGCAAGCGCTGCAGTCCACGAGCGTCGTCTACAAAGACAAGGATTACGACGAGGCGCTGGTTGCCCAGTGGTGCCCCAACCCGCTGATTCCTGAGGTGCCCCCGGTGGTGTTGGACAGCGTCGTGGCCGTGCCGTTGGAGGATTCGCCCGGCGCCGTCGTGGCCGCGGGACCAGCCGACGCCACAGCGGCCGGGGCGCAGGATATGGAAGACGCAGACGTTCAGGCGTGCAAGGAATCCCGGTACGTGAGCGCGTTCAGCGAGGAGGACATCCCGGGCGCGGCCGCCTCGGCGGGGGCCTTGGAGGTGACGGCGCTGATCAAGCAGCTGGAGGAGCTGGACGCGACAGCGCAGCGCTCAGTGGCCAAGGAGACAGAGCACGCCATCGAGTCAGGCAGCGCGCTGCTGGACGAGGCGGGCAGGGAGCGAGTCTTGCAGCTCTGCGAGTCCGTTCGAAACCGCGCTGCTCGGTTGTCGCGCCCGGAGCGGGAGCTGCGGCTGCAGGAGGACCTCGCGCGCGCCGCGCTGGGCGAACCGGTCAGGCCTCGACAGGCGGGGGGGGCCGAGGCGACCATGGCGAACCTCGAGGTGACGCGCGGCACGGCGCCCCTGTCGCTGTTCGATTGGAAGGTGTGGACGCAGGCGCGCCCGAGCCTGTGGCGCTACGGCGACGCCGGTCACCTGGACCCGAAACGAACGGGGACCTACCCGCAGTTGCTCGCCCACGAGTGGATCACGGGCCTGTGCATGCGGGAGGAGATGGAGTACACTCTGGACACCGACGAGGAGAAGCCGTACCGCGTGCGGGAGAACGACGACGATCCAGAGGTCAACCGGTTCGCGGCGGACTGGGTGTCGTTGCACATGTTCGCCACGTTGCACTTCTTGACGGAGCGCCACCAGTCCGCCTTCGCCTTCCTGAAGAACGGAGGCATGAAGTGGGCCGAGAAAGTGCAGCACCTCACGCCGGATGCCCTGGCGGCGGCCGCCCGCGCTCACGCGGGTGGCGGCGGCGTGGCGGCTTTGGCAAGCAACGCCAACGTGCCCAACGTGGTTCGGGACGCCCTGAACATCATGCAGATGGCCGTCGCGGACGTTGTCGGCACCGACGGACATCGGCGCCTCTGCCGCCACGAGGGGGTTGCCTACATGGCGCTCTTCGGGTGCCCCTTGATCTTCGCCACCCCGAACGTAGCGGACACGAAGCAGCCACTGTTCGTCAGGGTGGAGGGCCAGGAGATCCCGCTCGACGACCGGAGCATTCCAGGCCTGCGCAGCGACGTCATCCCAAAGTACCGAGACATGATGCGGCGCGTCGCCCAGGACCCGGTCGGCCAGACCGTGTGCTTCGAGCTCATCATGCGCCTCTTCTTCATCCACGTCCTCGGCGTCCGCCCCGAGTGCGTGGGCGGCCGCCGGCGCGGCGTTCCTCCCAGGAAACGCTGCTCCTGGGACTGGTGCACCGACGGCGTGGCGGCGTCCTCGACCGCCCCGGGGATCTTTGGGCCCGTGCAAGCTTTCCGCGGAGAGATCGAGGCGCAAGGTCGGGGATCGCTCCATCCGCACATCCTGGTGTGGTTGTGCGCCCTCTCGACGCGGCAGCTCGTGCACGTGCTCCGACGCCATCCTGCCGCTTTCCGAGAGCGCCTGGGCAAGTGGATGAGGGCGTGCGTCATGGCCGTGGAGAGCACCTGCCAGAGTTCCGTAGAGGTGTTGCCGCGGCGTTTCGGGCACGTCGACCAGCGCGTGGACCCGCTGCCATTCTCTGTCATCAAACGAGACCAGTCGCGCTTCGACGGGGGCAGCGAGCTGGACGCGCTCCGCGAAGAGAAGCAGGCGGGCGCGGAGCTGACCGAGGACCAGGAGACCTTCCTGGAGACCGAGGACCGGGACTCCTGGCTCCGGCCCGATCTGCCGTTGCGGGACGCCACAGGCCGCGAGTTGGCGCCGGGGGAGAAGGCACCGCCGCGGCCGTCCTCATACGGCATGCCCATCGATGCTTTCGCCGTGGGGAAATGCCCCGCGTACCGGCGGCGCGGCCTCGTGCAGCAAGACACCGGCGCGGGCGAGCCGGCGGCCCGCGGGGTTGTCCCAACGGTCTGCTCGGACGCGCCCGCGGCTCAGTCGGGGCAGCAAGGACTCGGCCAGACGACACTCGCCGCGGACGAGGAGGCGCCGCCCCCGCCGCCGCCCCCGCCAGGAACGGAAGAGAATCGTGAGGTCTGGGAGCGCCTCTTCTCGAGGGACGTCCGGGAGCTCGCCAAGGAGACGATGACGCACGTGTGCGGAGAGAGCTGCTACAAGTACTCGGGCAACAAGACCACGAAGATCTGCCGCCACGGCTTCTACTACATCGTCACGCTTGCGGATTGGCGCAGGCGCAGGCGAGGGAAGCCTCTGCGGAACGCCATGTTCGTGGTGCGATCCTCGACGCACGGCATGCAGGGTCGTCTGTTGCACTTCCAGCTCCACCCGTCTGAGTGCATTACCAACTACGCCGGCGCCGCGGCTGGACGCTTCAACCTGGACGCGCAGGACCTCCGACGAGTCAGCGACCCCAAAGCGTGGTTGGACGAGGGCGAGGTGCTCCCGCACGTCGGCTCGCAACCCAAGCTGGGGTACATGGGCACGTACGAGCTGGGCGATGCCGACGCTTACGTCAACCGCCCGGAGGTTCCGGAGAAGCCGCTCGCGTGGACGGACGACTGCTCGCCGGAGGAGTGGCGCGACATTATGCTGCAGTGCCAGACGGAGGACGCGGAGGGCGAGGACGCGGATGACGCGGACGCCGCGGACACCTTCGCGGACCAGCTGGAACTGGATGCCCAGGCAGCGTTCAGCGACGGCCTGAACACGGGCTTCTACATCAACTCCTACACGACGAAGCAGTGCCCCAGCATGGAGGGCGTCCTCGTGGAGATGCGGCGCGGCCTGGAGCGGCTGCAGGCGCAGCGACAGGCGCAGCAGGACAAGATGAAGCTGGAGCTGCAGCAGCGAGGAGACGACCCCGAGAAGACTCTGTCCGCCGCCGACCGGAGAGCGCTCGGGGGTAAGTCCAAGTTCGGGGAGACGCTGGATCTGGTGAAGAATCTGTCCGCATCGTACCGCCGATGCTACTGGAAGAGCGGGCCAGAGATGCGTCGGGCCACAGGCTCGGGCGCGCCTGCGTCCACACCTTCCAATCGAACAGCGACAGGGGCGCCGTGCCGCGCGTCACCTCGAGGTTCGCCATGGTCGCCTCGGCCCCCCCCGCCTGTCGAGGCCTGACCGGTTCGCCCAGCGCGGCGCGCGCGAGGTCCTCCTGCAGCCGCAGCTCCCGCTCCGGGCGCGACAACCGAGCAGCGCGGTTTCGAACGGACTCGCAGAGCTGCAAGACTCGCTCCCTGCCCGCCTCGTCCAGCAGCGCGCTGCCTGACTCGATGGCGTGCTCTGTCTCCTTGGCCACGGAGCGCTGCGCTGTCGCGTCCAGCTCCTCCAGCTGCTTGATCAGCGCCGTCACCTCCAAGGCCCCCGCCGAGGCGGCCGCGCCCGGGATGTCCTCCTCGCTGAACGCGCTCACGTACCGGGATTCCTTGCACGCCTGAACGTCTGCGTCTTCCATATCCTGCGCCCCGGCCGCCGTGGCGTCGGCTGGTCCCGCGGCCACGACGGCGCCGGGCGAATCCTCCAACGGCACGGCCACGACGCTGTCCAACACCACCGGGGGCACCTCAGGAATCAGCGGGTTGGGGCACCACTGGGCAACCAGCGCCTCGTCGTAATCCTTGTCTTTGTAGACGACGTTCGTGGACTGCAGCGCTTGCGCCTGCGAGTCAAACTCTGCGCGGTTCACCTTGAGGCGCGCGATGCCCCGGACGGCGCGCCGGGCGGCGTCCTGCTGCCTGGCGGCGTCGCCAGCCAGACCCTCGCGGCGCCACTGTCCCGCTGCATTCTCCGAGCCGTCTGGCGGCTGCTCTTTCGCCGCGTCCTGCTTGGCTGCCAGGAAAGTCACCGCGAAGGCGTCCTTGATGGAAGCCGGAGGGAAACGCTCCATGGCCTCCTTGCACGACGCGTTCCCGAAGAGGATTGCGGAGCCCACCATGCCCGTCTGGTGGAAGAGGAAGTCCCACGTGGGCCCGTCGCCGCTGCGCTGCTTGTCGTAGCTCTCGGGGCGCAGCACCACCTTGGTCGTCACGACGCGGGCGAGTGCGAGGAGCATCTGGTGCGACAAGTTGGCATTGCGGAAGAGCGGGTCATTCCTGCCGAGCCACAAGTGGTTAGCGAAGGTGAACTTGCACATGCGCGGGTGGCGGGGAAAGAACGCGTACAGGCAATCCTCGCACACCGGGGCCCGCTCGTCGCCCAACGCCTGCGCATCCGTCACCCGCCGCTTGTGCATGAGGACAAGTTGGAATGTGTCCGTGTTCCCAATGCGCAGACGCACGGCGGAGGCGCGGAGCTCGGCCTCGGGGATGTCGGGCCAGTGCTTGTGGTAAACCTCCCAAGACAACAGCTTGGCCACGGCCTCGGGGTTCTTCATGAAGCAGTCCTTGCCTGCTAGGAACTCCAAGGAGAGGTCCTCGGACCAGTGCAGCCTGGCGCAGAAGACGCACGCACAGCGGGTCCGGGGCGCCCAGCGCTCATCTGCAGACAACCCCTCGGGAGTCTGAGCGAGCTCACGCATGCGCTCAGTCGGCTTCTCCCAGTCCACGGCGGCCCTGGCGTAGAACTCCGCATAATTGGCCACGATCGCGCGCCACTCCTCTCCCTTGACAACATAGGGCTTCAGCGACAGCGACGAGAAGAGAGCGTTGCGGTAGCGCTGGACGCCACCGTGCTCGTCGTCCACGTGCTTCTTCCAATCTTCGCGGAACGCGAAGTCTCGGCCCTGGCAGAGCCGGCACGGCTGGGGGCCCGACGGCTCGGCCCTCTGCGACCAGGTGCGGCATTTCACATCTGCGCTGGTGCGTCGCAGATCCCAGTTATCCACGTACCGCTTGAAAGGGTTGTCCGCGCTGTTCTCGGGGTCTGCCCGGGTGTGGTCTCTGTTGTCCGCGGCAGCTGAAGCGTTCCAGACGGCCCTGGCAGCTGGGTGCACTCCAGCAATGCCCCTTGGCTGACCGCTGCGGTTCCTACCAGTCTGGTCCTTTCCAGTCTCGTCTCTACCAGACTGGTCTCTGCCACTCCAGTCCCTGCCTGTCCGGCCTTGACCAGCCGCTGAGCCTGCAGCCTGTGGCAAGCCGCGGCTGCCGCTGCCCGATCCGGATGCTAAGCCAGCAGCGGCCCCTCCCGACGCCGCAGGCATCACTCGCGACAGCCTGGCAGCAGCCTCCAGAGCGTCGTCAGGCCCACGAGGGTCGCGCCGCTTCCCGCCCATCGGAATCGACCGTCTGGGCCTCGCGCGGCGCCCGCCCTTGTTGACGTAGGCGACGTAGTGGCCGCCGCGCATCCGCTGCAGAGGTGGTACGCCGCGCGGGGCGCGGTGCTGCGCGAAGGCCGCCACCTCGTAAGAAACGGCGTCTCCGTTGAGAATGCTGACGGGGAAGACAGTGTCCCGCCAGTCCGCCCGCGCGTCCACCGCGAACTGTCTGCCATCCTGTTCGTACATGCTCTCCACGCGGAGGACCACTGCCTCCGAAGCCTCACGGACGGCCTGCTCGCCCGTGAGGGACGCCTGGATCATGGCGGCCATGGGCACAGGCGGCGCATCGCGACCCACCTGGGCCTCCTCGGCCGCGCAGCAGTGCACCATGCCCTCGACGCTCGCGGCTGCGCCGTCCCCGCAGACGCGGCGCCGCACTCCTCCGAGGTCCGCGTGCTCGAGGACGCGCATCAGGCACTCCGCCGCGTCCTGTTGGCGACCGGACTCAAAGCCTGGCGGCTGCTGCAAGATCTGGCGGACAAGGGCCACCAACGGCGGGCGAATGTCGCCGGCCGTGGAAGCAGGGAAGCTGCGCGCACAGAACAAGTCCCGCAGGCGGTCCCCCATGTTGCTGGCGCCCGGCTGCATGCCCTCGATGTCTGCGCGGAAGGGGTGCGTGTGGTACAAGCACTGCACCACGGCATTGATATAGCACGTGTTTGTCAGGTTGGGGAAGCCAGCGGCGCCCGCGCGGCCGTCTCGGGGCGCTGACGCGGCTGCTCCCAGCACGGCCGCTCTGGCGAACCGCATGCCAGGCTGAGCGAGCAGGCCGCGCATCTGCTGCTGCCGGTCGTCGTCGCGCAGCAGGGCGCGGAGGTGTTGCTCGCGAGTGCCTGGGTGATGCCACTCGGGGTACAGCCGCGCCTGCAGCCCGGCCAGGGCTCGCGCCGCGTCGGCCCGAGATTCCACCTGCGGTCCTTCCACGTCAACTCCTGCCGGCTTGAAAGTCCACCGCCAGGCGCTGCTGCTCGAGGGGATCACTGCGGCGGGGCACTCCACCTTCTCCACTGCGCCGAAGAGCTCTGGGCCAATAATGTGAGGCTGGTGCGCCAACAGAGCGTACTCGGCCGCCTGGAGCTCGCCGTGCTGGTGCAAATTCCACACGTAGTTCAGCTGTCGATACTTTGGCTTGTTCTCGCGCCATTGTGGGAGGTACTCTCCGTTGCCTAGGCGCAGAGCCTCATCGCGGACGTGCACGTACAGATCTTTCACAGCTTTCCGCGGCACTGCCGCCAGGAGGCGCTCCTCTTCCCGCGGGCGCAAGCGCGGCCGCTCGACGGGCCGCGAGGCACCTCTCGCGGGATTCCCTGGGTGAGCAAGCCTCACGGAATCGTCGACCAACGGGGACTCCCACGGGCTCTTGCGGCACGACCTTGCCAAGGCCTCCGCGGTGGCAGGCGTCAGGCCGCCGGTGGTCTGCGCGGGCGTCGCACCGAGCCCGTCGGCGAACAGGCGAGGCCTCTTCGCCGGGGTCTCTTCGATGCCGATGGGCGGCGTTGAAGCGGGAGACGCCTTGGCCGCTGCTGCAGCCGCCGGGCCGTGTCCAGCCGAGCAAGCCGTCGGGACAACCCCTCGAGCTGCCGGCGTCGACTGGCCAGGCCGTGACTCGCCCTGCAACGGCGCCGCGCAGGCAGCAGCCTCGCCACCCCTCTCGGTCAGGCGCCTTTGCTTTGCCGGCGGGGCGTCGTCGGGGCACGCCGACGCTGCCGGGCCGAGGGAGTCATTGACCAGGGCGTCCAGCTCCGACAGGGCAGCGGCAACTGTCGGATGATCAGATGCGACGCCCGCGTGCTTCACGTACCACTTGTAAATCCGCTGTTCCTCGAGCCCCGCCCTCTGCTGAAGCTTCGCCTTCAAGCCGATGCCGCCCCGTGCTCTCAGGGCCGTCAAATTGGCAGTCGCCCACCGACGATGCTCTGCGACGTCTGCGAGCAAGGCCGCCTCCGTCTTCTTGGGCGGCATGTTGAAATGTCGGGATATGCGGTTTGCAACGGCGAGTGAAGCACGCAGCGTTGGCAACAGGAAGCAAAGCCAATGCGGACTGAGCCTCAATCGCTACGGTGTCAGCTGGTCTCAGCTGGTCACCTCGGGGTATGGTGGTCTCAGCTGGTCTCTCCCGCTCCATCCTGCTTACCGCTGCTCTCAACTGCACTTTCATGCCTTTTGCCGCTCCGTGGTGGTTTCTGCTGGTCTCTGCTAATGCATCCTGCTCTCTCTTGGTCTCTGCTGCCTTCTGCTGCTGCATGTGAGTCTCTGCTGCTGATGCTATGCTGGTCTCAGTTCTTGTCTGCTGCTCTCCGGTGCTCTGTTGTGCTCTCTGCTGGCCACGGGTGGTCTCAGATTTTGGCTGCTACTGTCAGCTGTGCTGCTCCCTGCCGGCAGTGAGAGGCAGCGGATGGGCACGATATTTTCGACGGCCCGGGCATCGCAGGCAATCCGGGATGGAGATCGACGACGGAGGCGAAAGCGGAAGGGAGAATGCTGGCGCGCAGGCCCTGTCATTTTTGAAGTGGTCGGTAGCTCCGCCGTCTGCCCCCGCCCGGACGGGCGCCGCGCGCAGGATGCCGTCAGGGCAACCCGTCGGGCCTGCGGGAGAAAGCGCGAGGGCGGCGACAGAAGGGAGAGACAAAATGCAAAATCAATACCGTCGGGACAACCCCTCAGGCGAGACCAGCGGCGATGGGCGCTGTGTCACGGGCGCCCTCGCGAGACGGCGCAGGGTCAGCCGGGTCAGCGCGAACTCGCGCCAGTGCCAGCGCGCGCCGTTGGGGCAACCCCGCGGGCGCGGCTGGGGCGGCGACAGAAGGGAGAGACAAAGTGTAAAATCAATACTCAATACCGTCGGGACAACCCCTCAGGCGAGACAAGCGGCGATGGGCACTGCGTCGCGGGCGCCCTCGCAAGACGGCGCAGCGTCAGCCGAGTCAGCGCGGGCTCGCGCCAGTGCCAGAGCGCGCCGTTGGGACATCCCCGCAGGCACGGCTGCGGCTCGCGCGCGAGCTCTCACTCCAGTCGGCGACGCGTCGCCAGGGATGATGGCGTTGACGCAGCGTCGGGGGGCGAGAAGGCGAGGTCCCGCATGCGCTTGAGCGGCGTGGCGTCGGGCGCGTGCGCGATGAGCGCCGGGCCGCCGGACCCCTGCGCGCTGGCCATGAGCTTGACCATGCTGGGCAAGAGCTCGGGGACCACGGCCTTGTGCGACAGCACATCGAACGTCCCGCGGCCGGAGCCCTTATCTGTCCGCAGCATGGCAGTCACGAGGTGCGCGTCGCCGTGCCCGGCCGTCAGGAGCCACTGCACGTCGCCGGCGACACCGGCCGTCTTAACGCAATACGTGTCTTCCTTTTCAGACTGGAACCCGCAGCGCGCGAGGCGCTGCACGCGCAGGCCGCGATTCTCTGCGTCGGGTGTGGCCACCGTCTCCGCTTCCGTGGGCCTCTGCATCACCAGCAACACGCGGACCGCCTGGACCTCCAGGTCACGGACGAGCAGCAAGCCGAGCGAGTCGTCCGAGCTGACGTCCGAGCACGCCGCGAACGGGCAGGCGCCGCCCGTCTTCACCGCCGGCGGCGCCGTCACCTCCGACCACGTCGACACGACGCCGTCGGGCGTCAGCGTCGGGACAATCCGCTTCACCTCGAGGTAGTTGACATTGGTGACATCGTTTGTCTTGAACACGCACCGCAGCGTCCACGGCGTCGCCCGAAATGCCGCAGCGCGCACGCGGCGGGCCTGGGCGTCCAGGGGCGTGCCCGAATCGCCGAGCACGTCGAGGGTGGACGCTGCGTCGTGGTACAGGACGGCGGAGCCTCCGCCGGTGTGGTCCGCGATGCCCAGCTTCAGGAGCCACCGCATCTCAGTTCCCGCTTCGGGGTGGCTGCCACACGTGTCCTGGTGGTCGGGAATCTTCTTCTTGCACTCTGCGCAGCTCTTGATCTGCCAGTCGCTGTCGGCGGAAGCACCTGCCACGCCCGTGACGGCGACGCAGTGGAGCTCGAAGACCCCAGGCAGGTCGCGCGTCTGGAAAGGCACGGGCACCGACATGAGGCCACTCACCGTGCTCGCCATGGCGGGCACCGTGTCGTAGTCCACGGCATGGTGCTGCTTGGTGAGGGACGTGGCCGCGTCGGCACCCTCGGAGATGTCAGTCGCGGCGCGAACAGTCTCCGCTTGAGCTGCAGGACAAGTCGTGACCTCCGTGGCCTCCGTGGCGAAGATCTCCCAGGACCCGTTGCGCTGCTTCACATTCACTTGCATCAGCGCGATCACGGAGCCGACGGGGAAGGCGGCCAGAGTCGCGGCATGGTCTCGCCAGAATGCGCAGCGGATGTCGTGGCGCCCCTGCTTGATCACCGCGTTGCAGACGCCTGCTCGGCCGTACTGGGTGTCGCGCTCCACGACGCCCGGCTGGTGAGACACGACGCCGACCGCGCACACCTGCGTTGTATCGGTCACTCTGCCCAAGCTGGCAATCTCCGCGAACGGGTGATGCAGGGGAACGTCCACCCACGGGCTTTCGGTGCACTCCTGGATGACCGTGTTGACTCCCAAGGGCGGCTTTACCCGCAAGAAGTACGACAGCCGAGAAGTGGAGTACTTCGGGGTCTGGTTCACGACGGTCCCGCCGGACACGCGGTAGACCCTGCCCAGCTCCATGGCGGCATGAACTTGGGCGGCGGCGTCTGCCCATCCGTCAAGGAACAGGACGTCGCCCACAGTGTCACCGCCGAGCATGTGCACTTCGATCTTCCTCCCCGGCTCTCTGTCCTTTCCAGCGCGTTTGCCCTTGGCCTTGCCCTTGCCCTTCCCATCCGCTTGGTTGCCCACTTCCACCGGGCCTCGCTTGATGACGACGCGCCCGAAGACGCACGTGGCGGGATCGCCGGAGAACTCTCGCGGAGACAGAGCGAGCTTGCTGTCCGCCATGGTCAGCGGCAACGCCGGACTGAGATGGAACGGGGGCGCTGGCCACAAGATGCTTGAGCCAAATGCGCTGCGGAAGCTCTGGCACGGGGTCGAGGCTGACAGGGGCCCCCAGCTCTCACTTTCCTCTCCCATCCTTCTCGATCAGTCGAATAATATCGAGACGTGAGGCGCGCGGCTGCGCGTGCGTGCATACTCGAGACGGCACGAATGCACCAGAGCACAACGAAGACGGCTCCCCCGAAAAGACGTTAGTATCCGAATCAGAAAACCATAATAACATGGTGGTGAGCGGGTCCGGCGGAAACCCTCGTGTCAGATGTCACTCGGCGGAATCGACAACCACGAGGGAGCGGAGACCTCGATTAAACGGGACAGGCAACGGATATGACAGTGGCGGGTGGGAGGGCGCGCAGGAGCCCCATTTGCTTTGCCGACTCAAACACTGGATGCATTGGCGAGACACTCAGACCGTGAATACTGCCGTCGGGACAACCCCTCAGGCGAGAGACGTAGCAAAGGGGTCTATGCCGCCGGAAGCAAGACAGCGCGCTGTGCAGGTGGAGAAAAAAAGCGTCGGGACAACCCCTCGGCCGAGTAGCGACCTGCGAACAAGCGTTTCCAGATCGCTCAATCTCCCGCCAGCAATGGCGAATCCCAGAGAGCCCCAGTGGGAAATCGCCGCAGTAATGCCAGACTCCCCAGTCAGTCTCTCCATCGGACCGATGCACCACCTTGTGCAGCATTGGCGCGAAGGCGTACTCCCTGGCGGCGGGCGTCACGGTGAGGTCCGCGAGAGCGCGGGCGCTGAACTCCACCTGTAGCAGCACGTGCTTCACCTTTGAGACAAAAGCGCCACTCCTCTGCTGCACTATGCGAGCGCGCTCCATGGCCTGCGTCGGCGACGTGCGGAAACCAACGCACGGAGTGGACCCCATCAAACGCCGTGGAATCTGCGCCCCGTGCTCAACGGCGGGCTGGTCATCCTTATGCACAGCGACGAACAGAACGAGCACGGTGGTGTCACCCATCTCGAAAGGCATGGCGGGCGAGACGCAGGCGCACCGCGACTGCTTGCTGCTCTGGCAACGAGACCCACACGAATCTTCCCATTTGAGCCCATCACAACGGCGACGGAAACAAACCCATTTGAGCCCATCACAAGCCCATCACACCCCCAGTCTCCGCTGTTCTCTGTTGTTGCCTGTTGTTGTCTGCTGCTCTCTGCTACTCTCTGCTGCGCCCTGCAGGTCTTCGCTGTTGGTTGCTGCATTATGCCGCTCCCTGCTGCTCTGGGCTGCTACCCGGTGCCTGACGTCAAGATACCCCTGGGAGCTCCGGAGGCTCCCAGAAAACACAGAAACGATCGAAACTATCAAACAAGACCTCAACCACAACGGTGTCAGCTGGCCAGCTGCTGGCCTCAACTGGTCTGTCCTGGTCTCTCCCGCTCCCTCCTGCTTCCCGCTGCTCTCTACTGTTCCACGCTGTTGTCTGCTGCTCTCGGTTGATCTCAGCTGCTCTTTCATGCTCTTTGCCGCTCCGCGTTGGTTTTTGCTGGCATTTGCTATTGTATCCGGCTCTCTCCTGGTCTCTGCTGCAGATGCCGTCAGGACAACCCATCGGGCCTGAGGCGTGAAGGAGCGGGGCAGCGAAACAGCGCATGGGTGGCGACGAGAGCGAGAGGATATACAAAAACGCATATGCCGTCGGGACAACCCCTCGGGCAAACGTTTGAAAGGCGAAGTCCACAAGCGGGCGGCAAGGGGGGAGAGCAGCGAAGGCTCGGCGGCAATGCATTCAGCGAGCGCGCTGCCCGTCGGAACAACTCCTCGGGGCAGCAGCGCGCGAGCGCGCTCAAGACAGCCATCAACGCGCAACCTGCCGGAACAACTCCTCAAGGATGCAGCGGGCTGTCGCCGCGGAGGCAAGCCGTTGGGACAACCCCGCGGGCACCCTCGCACGCGGCTGGCATGCGCCTCACTCGAGCTCGCTCAGGTAGCCGACGCCGTGCCGCTTCTCTCCCAGGTGTGATGTGT